TGCTCCTCCATTCTCCTCTCAGGATCTTGGGCACACATGCACATGTGCCCGGCGTGGGTTTTAAGCCACTGGGTCCAGGACACGAACCGCGGTCTTCTATGTGGGAGTCCAGCCACATAGCCATTACACTAACTGTTGGTTCCCTGTATTGCAGCATTTTGACTGCAACCTATCACATGAAGTCAAGTGTGGAATTTTTCACTGTGGCATCATGCCAGTGCTCAAAAAAATTCAGATTTTAGGGACCAGCAGTTAACGTAATGGCTATGTTACTGGACTCCCATGTATTTGACCATGATTCAAGTCCCCGACCAGGTGGCTTAAACTCACGCCAGGCCCAAGTGCGTGTGTGCCCAAGATCCTGAGAGGAGAATGGAGGAGAAGCGATTGTGGCATGGCCATCTCCCCTGGGGGGTGATTTCTCGCTTTCTGTCTTTCTGGAGAGCGCATGCACCTTATAGCAAAAACCTCCTGAAGGAAAAATAATTTAGATTTTCAGGTTTTGTATTAGGGATGCTCACTCAATCTGAAATGGGATCCTATTTATTTAAAAATTAATCCTGCCCATGTATATCTTTTGTTGGGAGGCTATTCCATTTACATCTAAAGTAATTAGTGATAGCAAAGGACTTTTGCTATAGTTTTCCATCTTGTAGCTTTTGCGACCCTCTTTTCTTCTCTTACTGGCATCATTTGTATTTTGTTGGTTTTTGTTTTTTTTTTTTAATGAATGCTTTGATTTCTCATTTTCTTTTATATGTGGGAATTTATGTTTACCATGGGGTTACGTAAAATAGTTTATATAGTTACACCTATTTTAAACTGGTAACAACTTAATTTCTTTCTTTCTTTCTTTCTTTCTTTTTTTTTTTTTAAGCTTTCTTTTATTTTCGTTACTTATTTTAATGTGACCATAGAGGAACAGAGAGAGAAAGTGAGAAATCAAGCCTCTAGGTCTGGGACTCGAACCGCAATCTGCCATGTGGGATTCCAGCGCCCTCAACCACCATACTACCTGCTGGCACCGGTAACAACTTAATTGCAGAAATAAGTGTTTTTTTATTCCCCCTTTTATATTACTGATATCCCAAATTAAACCTTTGTGTATGATGTATCCATTCACAAATATTTGTAGATACAACTTTTTACCTTCAAATAGTTTACTCAAGTATGTATCATGAAAAAAAAAATGCATGGATTTTACATTTTCTTGTATCAATATAAGCCCATATTATTTCCATTTTTCCATGTACTCTTTGAGATACCCTTTCAATAGTCATTTTTAACTTTTTTTTTTTTTTTTTTTTTTTAATTTGCCAGAGGGTGAGGCCAGACCAGAGGGACAAAGTACCCCACAGTGGAAACGGTCATGCCATAATCACTTCTTCACCAGAATCACTTCACTGTTCCTGCTTTCCTTTCTGGGTTTTGGGCATGCGTGCACATGCTCCCAGTGTGTTTTTCAAGCTGCCAGGTGTGGAATTTGAACCATGCAGCTAGCCATGTGGATCCAGTCACCACAACTACCGTGCCACAGGCTAGCTTGTGATTTTTTTTTTAATATAGTTTATTTTAATTTTATTTATTCACTCATTTGTTTTAATTTGACCAGAGACACACACACACAGAGAGAGAGAGAGAGAGAGAAAGTGGGAAAGCAAGCCACCAGGTGTGGGACTCAAACCATGGTGCACCATTTGAGAGTGTCCAGTGCCTTAACCACCACGCCACCTGCTAGTCCCGATTTTTTTTTTAATTATTTTATTCAATTTCATTTATTCATTCATTCATTTATTTTAATTAGACCAGAGAAACACAGAAAGAGAGAGAGAGGAAAGTGAGAAAGCAAGCCACCAGGTCCGGGACTCGAACCGTGGTCGGCCATGTGGGAGTGTCCAGCGCCTTAACCACCACGCTACTTGCCGGTCCCCCCGATTTTTTCTTAAATATGCTTCTGTCTTTTAATTTCTGTGCCTGGATTAAAAGTGATCTACATGGAGACCAGCAGGTGGTGTGGTGGTTAAGGTGCTGGACACTCCCACATGGCCAACCACTGTTTGAGTCCCAGATCTGGTGACTTGCTTTCTGACTTTCCCTCTTCTCTCTCTCTCTCTCTGTCTCTTCCTGGTCAAATGAAAATAAATAAAACTGAATAAATAATTCTTTTAGAAAAAGTGATTTACATACCACTTTTACAGTATTCTATATTTGTTTATATATTTACCTTTACTGTTGAGCTTTATATGTTCACATGCTTTCTGTGTAACTATCTAGTGTACTTTAATTTCTACTGAAGGGCTCCCATTATAATTTTTGTAAAGCAGCTCTCATGGTGATGAACTTTCTAACTTTTGTGTATCTGGAAAAGTCTTTATTTGGCTTACATTTAAGAGGTTTATGCTGTAAGGCACGTGCACTCGCTGGAGAAATAGAGACAGAAAGCAAGAACTCACCCTCCCCACAGGGTGGATGACCATGCCTCAATCCCTTCTCCTCCTCCTCCATTCTCCTCTTGGGATTTTGGGCATGCACCCACACGTGCCTGGCGTGAGTTTTACGCTACAAGGTCTGGGAGTTGAACCACGATCGACTACGTGGGAGTCCAGCGGCATAACTATTACACCATCTGCTGGTCCCAAACCCTTCTTATAATATTAAGGGGGCTCCTTTGTATGAGATACATTGCTTTTTTCTTGCTGCTTTCAAAAGTCTGTCTTGGACTTTCAACAATTTCACTTTGGAAAAAAGATAGTTATCTTCAACAAGGCTATAAATATGAACCAGAGAAGCATAAAACATATTTTAACTGCATGAGAGTACTAGTACTTGCCAGAGAGAGGTGGGGACAAATAGCACCTTCTCCATCTCACCATTTTGCCAGCATTTTGTGCATGTTTGTATGTGTTTTTTTTTTTTTTTTTTTGAGATGTTTGCTATAGGGCGTGTGCGCTTGCCAGACAGACAGAGAGAGAGACAGAGAGACAGAAAGCAGGAAATCACCCCCCAGGGGGGATGGCCACGCCGCAATCCCTTCTCCTCCATTCTCCTCTTGGGATCTTGGGCACGTACGCACACGCTCCTGGCTTGAGTTTATGCCACCGGGTCCGGGACTCGAACCACGGTCGACTAC